AGCATTGTAAGTAGTCATACTCTGGGTCAGGGATGGAGGAACAAATTTTTTTCTGCCAAGGGCCATTTAGACATCTATATAACGTCATCCGCGGGCCATACAAAATTATCAACTTAAAAACGTGCCCGTTATATTTTACAATACGAGACCTCCTTTTGCCAGAAACAAGATATAGGAATAGGTTTTACCCTTTTAAACTGGCACAAAAACTGACACCTTTATTCAAGGCATCATGTTTGCAATAACCACAAGATCCGGACCTGGATCTTGTGTTTGTTTAGAATTTTGGAATTTTTTTCTGGTAACGCCTCCTATGTACGGTAACGTGATGATTTTGATCGGAGTGTCAAGTGGTTGTTTCTGTATGGTGGGGGAAACAGCTTGGCGGATGGTACGGTCAGAGTATCCGTTCATCTTGAGGGCAATGAGCCCTATGGTATAATGTTTTGATGAGAGAATTCTTCTGAGTCGGGTGGTGGTGGCAATCAGGTTCCAAGTAGGAGTCTGTGTGGGTGGGCTTCCTGTAAACAGAATGTCCCAAAGAGCCATCAGGCCTCCTCTCAAACAGGACATCCAAGAATGGCAGCTTGCCAATCTTTCTCCACATCCATGGTGAATTTGATGGACGTGTGTCTGGAATTGATGCGGTCTAGGAAAAGGTTCAAAGCATGGGAGGCCATGTGGCCAAATGACGAAAGTGTCATCCACATATCTCTTCCACAGGGAAGGGCTGAGGGTGGATGTCTGGATGGCGTCTGATTCAAATTTCTCCATGAAAACGTTGGCTATCACCGGTGATAAGGGGGAACCCATAGGGGTACCCTCATTTTGTTTGTAGAAGGTGCCATTCCAGGTAAAGTAGGTGTTGGTGAGGCAGTGCCTAACCAGCGCAGGTACGTCAGGGTTCAGTCCATGTTGGACCAAATCTTCAATTATTGTTATGGTGTCAGGCACTGGGACCTTGGTGAACAGAGAGACCACATCAAAGCTGACGAGGATATCGTCAGGAGAACAGTGCAATGTCCTTGACCATAGAAACCAATTGGGTTGAGTTAAGTACTGCTGAGGTGGTCTTGCCAGTGAAGGGGAGCAGAGTATCCGACAGAAAACGGGCTAGTCTATAGGTAGGTGAGTTGATCGTGGACACGATGGGTCATGGTGGGGTACCTTCCTTATGGATCTTGGGAAGACCACAGAATCTGGGAGGTCTCGCAGCCGAGGGTTTTAGGGAGGGACGTTTTGTTGGTTCAATTAGGGAAGTCGAACTAGTGATGATCCTGTTGGTTTTTGTGGTTAGCCTGTTGGTAGGTTCATTTTTATTTTTTGAGTAACTCCCATCATTGAGTAGGTCCGGGATTTTGTTGTTGTTGTACGAGGTTTTTTTTTAATCCATAATGACAGCGGCATTGCCTTTGTCGGCCGAGAGGATGACTGTACCGTCTCTCTTTTTTTAAATTCGCGAGTTCAGAGCGTTCGTTTTTGCTAATGTTGCTAATGGGTTTCTTAGCGTTCTTAAGAACAGTGGCTATTTCAGCTCTCGCAACGTCCGCTTTGGATGTGTCCTACGCCTTTGAGGGCTACATCGACCTGAGAGATGATATCCTCTACTGGTATGTGTTTTGGGGTGACAGCGAAATTTAGTCCTTTAGCCAGTACCGTTTTCAGATTGTCCGAAATCGGGGTGCTCCTCTGATTAATGACGATTTTGTTAACGTCCGGTTTCGTGATGTGTGGTCCTGGGTTATTGCTTGATAGGTGGTTGCATTTAGAGATTAGGTTTGCTTTGCATTTGACTGACAGTGAATCAGCAGAGGCAGCAGTCGTGTTGTCTACGTGATTCCAATCAGAAGGTGACATCTTTTTTTGGTGTTAACATTAAATGAGCTTGTAGGAGAGTCCTGTCTAAACTATCGGGTTCAAATCGGAGTAACCTTATCCTCTCTGAGATTAAAGCCAGGCTGGCCTTGAGCAGAATCTGTTCAGAGTTCGGTGAAGATACAGCGGCAGACGTGAGTGTGAAAGCGATGGGTATTACCTTGCGGTCACGGCATCTCTTGAGGAAGGTCAGCGTCTCGATGAGCTGTGACTTCTTGTTCCGTTGTCTGTTAAAAGCTCTAACAGATAGGTGGAAATCCTCCCCGTAGAGGTTATCAATTCTAGATTTGAAGCTTTCGTGACAGCAAGGATTCGTACTCTTTGGTTTAATTCGGTAAAGTCACGTAGGTAAAGCAAAATAAGAAAAAATAATTAAATAGTGTCGTGTAGTGTATAGTGTCGTGTATAGTGTATGGTGTAGTGTGTATAGTAGTGTAGTGTATGGTGTAGTGTGTATTGTAGTGTATAGTGTAGTGTAGTGTGTATAGTGTAGTGTATAGTAGTGTATAGTGTAATGTATAGTGTTGTGTATAGTAGTGTAGTGTATAGTAGTGTATAGTGTAGTGTATCGTAGTGTAGTGTATAGTGTAGTGTGTATAGTAGTGTATAGTGTAGTGTATAGTAGTGTATAGTGTAATGTATAGTGTTGTGTATAGTAGTGTAGTGTATAGTGTAGTGTATAGTGGTGTAGTGTATAGTGTAGTGTATCGTAGTGTACAGTGTAGTCTATGGTAGTGTATAGTGTGGTGTAGTGTATTGTATAGTGTAGTGTATAATGTAGTGTATAGTGTAGTGTATAATGTATAGTGGTGTATAGTGTAGTGTATTGTACAGTGTAGCGTATAGTAGTGTGGTGTATAGTGTAGTGTATAGTAGTGTATTGTATAGTGTAGTGTATAGTGTAATGTATAGTAGTGTAGTGTATAGTGTGGTGTATAGTGTAATGTATAGTAGTGTAGTGTATAGTGTGGTGTATAGGGTATAGTGTGGTGTATAGTGTAGTGTATAGTCGTGTAGTCTATAGTGTAGCGTATAGTAGTGTATAGTGTAGTATGTAGTGTTGTGTATAGTGTAGTGTATAGTAGTTTAGTGTATAGTAGTGTAGTGTATAGTAGTGTATAGTGTAGTGTGTATAGTATATAGTGTAGTGTATAGTGTAGTGTATAGTGTAGTGTATAGTGTAGTGTATACTGTAGTGTAGTGTATATAGTTTATAGTGTAGTGTATAGTAGTGTATAGTGTAGTGTATAGTAGTGTAGTGTATAGTGTAGTGTATAGTATAGTTTATAGTGTAGTGTATAGTGTAATGTATAGTAGTGTATAGTGTAGTGTATAGTAGTGTATAGTGTAGTGTATAGTAGTGTATAGTGTAGTGCATAGTAGTGTGTAGTGTAGTTTATAGTAGTGTATAATGTAGTGTACAGTGTAGTGTATAGTGTAGTGTATAGTAGTGTATAGTGTAGTGTATAGTGTAGTAGTAGTGTATAGTGTAGTGTATAGTGTAGTGTATAGTAGTGTATAGTGTAGTGTAGTTTATAGTAGTGTATAATGTAGTGTACAGTGTAGTGTATAGTGTAGTGTATAGTGTAGTGTATAGTAGTGTATAGTGTAGTAGTAGTGTATAGTGTAGTAGTAGTGTATAGTGTAGTAGTAGTGTATAGTGTAGTGTATAGTAGTGTATAGTGTAGTGTATAGTAGTGTATAGTGTAGTGTATAGTGTAGTGTGTAGTGTATAGTGTAGTAGTAGTGTATAGTGTTGTGTATAGTGTAGTGTATAGTGTAGTGTATAGTAGTGTATAGTGTAGTGTATAGTAGTGTATAGTGTAGTGTATAGTAGTGTATAGTAGTGTAGTACAGTGCATAGTAGTGTATAGTGTAGTGTATAGTAGTGTAGTACAGTGCATAGTAGTGTATAGTGTAGTGTATAGTAGTGTATAGTGTAGTGTATAGTAGTGTATAGTGTAGTGTATAGTAGTGTATAGTGTAGTGTATAGTAGTGTATAGTGTAGTGTATAGTAGTGTATAGTGTAGTGTATAGTAGTGTATAGTGTAGTGTATAGTAGTGTAGTACAGTACATAGTAGTGTAGTACAGTACATAGTTGTGTAGTACAGTACATAGTTGTGTACAGGGTGGTGGTAGAGTCATGGGGGGATGCGGGTGGGGGCTGTGCTGGGGGCCGTGGTGGGGGCGGTGATGGTGGGCGTGGCTTAGCCAGGGTTGGGGGGCGGTGCAGGAGGGGAGGGAGGGGGTCACGTGGGTGGTGGGAGGGGGACAGAGAGACACGGGGGGAGGGGGGAGTCACGTGGGTGGTGGGAGGGGGACAGAGAGACACGGGGGGGGGGGAGGGGGGAGTCACGTGGGTGGTGGGAGGGGGTGGAGTCACGTGGGTGGTGGGAGGGGGACAGAGAGACACGGGGGGGGGGGAGGGGGGAGTCACGTGGGTGGTGGGAGGGGGACAGAGAGACACGGGGGGAGGGGTGGAGTCACGTGGGTGGTGGGAGGGGGACAGAGAGACACGGGGGGGGGGAGGGGGGAGTCACGTGGGTGGTGGGAGGGGGTGGAGTCACGTGGGTGGTGGGAGGGGGTGGAGTCACGTGGGTGGTGGGAGGGGGACAGAGAGACACGGGGGGAGGGGGGAGTCACGTGGGTGGTGGGAGGGGGACAGAGAGACACGGGGGGGGTCACGTGGGTGGTGGGAGGGGGTGGAGTCACGTGGGTGGTGGGAGGGGGAGTCACGTGGGTGGTGGGAGGGGGACAGAGACACGGGGGGGAGGGGGGGAGGGGCACAGCCGAGGTGACAGACCGGTGGCGAGAGAGAGACGGAGACACGGAACAGACAGAGAGACAGGGAGTGAGTGAGTGAGTGGTGAGTGAGTGGGTGAGTGGTGAGTGAGTGGGTGAGTGAGTGGGTGTGTGGGTGAGTGGTGAGCGAGTGGTGAGGTTGTGAGCCAGTGTATGATTGAGTGAGTGAGTGGTGAGCGAGGAGCGAGTGGTGAGTGAGTGGTGAGTGAGTGGTGAGCGAGTGGTGAGTGAGTGGTGAGTGAGTGTATGATTGAGTGGTGAGTGAGTGTATGATTGAGTGGTGAGTGAGTGGTGAGCGAGGAGCGAGTGGTGAGTGAGTGGTGAGTGAGTGGTGAGCGAGTGGTGAGTGAGTGGTGAGTGAGTGTATGATTGAGTGGTGAGTGAGTGGTGAGCGATGGACTTCCTGCTGGGAGGAATCTCAGCCAGTGTTGCGTGCCTGGTAACCAACCCGCTGGATGTGGTGAAGACTCGCATGCAGGTTCAGGGCGAGCTCAAGGCGCGGGGCACATACCAGGTACTCACGTACCAGGTACTCACGTACCAGGTACTCACGTACCAGGTACTCACGTACCAGGTACTCACGTACCAGGTACTCACGTACCAGGTACTCACGTACCAGGTACTCACGTACCAGGTACTCACGTACCAGGTACTCACGTACCAGGTACTCACTCACGTACCAGGTACTCACTCACGTACCAGGTACTCACTCACGTACCAGGTACTCACAACGATACTCACACACCGATACTTACACTCACACACTGATACACCAATACTCACACTCACCGATACTCACGCACCAATACTCACACTCACTGATACTCACACTCACACACTGATACACCGATACTCACACACTCACTGATACTCACACACCGATACTCACACTCACCGATACTCACACACTGATACACCGATACAACCCGCTGGATGTGGTGAAGACTCGCATGCAGGTTCAGGGCGAGCTCAAGGCGCGGGGCACATACCAGGTACTCACTCACGTACCAGGTACTCACTCACGTACCAGGTACTCACTCACGTACCAGGTACTCACTCACATACCAGGTACTCACTCACGTACCAGGCACTCACGTACCAGGTACTCACGTACCAGGCACTCACTCACGTACCAGGTACTCACTCACGTACCAGGTACTCACTCACGTACCAGGTACTCACTCACCGATACTCACACTCACACACTGATACTCACACACTGATACACCAATACTCACACTCACCGATACTCACACACCAATACTCACACTCACTGATACTCACACTCACACACTGATACACCGATACTCACACACTCACTGATACTCACACACCGATACTCACACTCACTGATACTCACACTCACACACTGATACACCGATACTCACACACTCACTGATACTCACACACCGATACTCACACTCACCGATACTCACACTCACTCACTGATACACCGATACTCACAACCCGCTGGATGTGGTGAAGACTCGCATGCAGGTACAGGGCGAGCTCAAGGCGCGGGGCACATACCAGGTACTCACTCACGTACCAGGTACTCACTCACGTACCAGGTACTCACTCACGTACCAGGTACTCACGTACCAGGTACTCACGTACCAGGTACTCACGTACCAGGTACTCACGTACCAGGTACTCACGTACCAGGTACTCACGTACCAGGTACTCACGTACCAGGTACTCACACTCACACACTGATCCTCACACACTGATACTCACACTCACACACTGATACTCACACACTGATACTCACACACTGATACTCACACTCACACACTGATACTCACACACTGATACTCACACACTGATACTCACACTCACACACTGATACTCACACACCGATACTCACACACTGATACACTCACACACTGATACTCACACTCACACACTGATACTCACACACTGATACTCACAGACTGATACTCACAGACTGATACTCACACACTGATACTCACACTCACACACCGATACTCACACACTGATACTCACACACTGATACTCACACACCGATACTCACACACTGATACTCACACTCACACACCGATACTCACACACTGATACTCACACTCACACACCGATACTCACACTCACACACCGATACTCACACACTGATACTCACACTCTGATACTCAGACACCGATACTCACACACTGATACTCACACTCACACACTGATACTCACACTCACACACCGATACTCACACTCACACACTGATACTCACACTCACACACTGATACTCACACTCACACACCGATACTCACACACTGATACTCACACTCACACACTGATACTCACACACTGATACTCACACACTGATACTCAGACACCGATACTCACACACTGATACTCACACTCTGATACTCACACACCGATACTCACACACTGATACTCACACTCACACACCGATACTCACACTCACACACTGATACTCACACTCACACACCGATACTCACACACTGATACTCACACTCACACACTGATACTCACACTCACACACTGATACTCACACACTGATACTCACACTCACACACTGATACTCACACACCGATACTCACACACTGATACTCACACTCACACACTGATACTCACACACCGATACTCACACACTGATACTCACACTCACACACTGATACTCACACACTGATACTCACACACTGATACTCACACTCACACACGATACTCACACTCACACACTGATACTCACACACTGATACTCACACTGACACACTGATACTCACACACTGATACTCACACTCATACACCGATACTCACACACTGATACTCACACTCACACACCGATACTCACACACTGATACTCACACTGACACACTGATACTCACACTCACACACTAATACGCACACTCACACGCTGATACTCACACACTCACCCACAAACTCACCACACCAACCCACACACACATACAACAACAACCGCCATTCGCCACTAAGTGGCGGTGACGTCACCACGACGCTTGTGCCAGGCCATGTGCACCTTGAGGCCACGTGAAGTGTCGAACGCCCGCTGGCAGGAGGTCACTGGGCAGACCCAGGTGCCACGGGTCGACTGACTGAGATGACTGGCTGATGCACCACCTGTGCCCCCTACTGTGCCAACTCGCTGTGCTTTAGCCACCCGGCGCTCCGCTCGTTGTTGTGAGCGTCGCTCCTCCGCCCTCCGCTGTTGTTGGAGGGCGACTGCCTCCAACTGCCCAGTAGCATCCTTCACGAGCCTCCTCCACAGAGGCCGATCTTGACACCGCTGGTACCAGTCATCGGCAAGTCCACTCAGCTCCACGTCCTCCCGTACCACATCACTCCATCTCATCTCTAGCCCGTGCCGCGCCCGTTTAGCTTTCTCGATCCGGCCGAACAAAAGCTGTTTCGGCATGCGGTGGCTGTGCATGCAGGCTACATGACCCAGCCAACGCAGCCTTGCCTACCGGAGGAGCTCACTGATGAGACCTTGCCGAGATCTTTCAAAGATTTGTGAGCTCCTCACACAATCCAGCCTGGTTAAACCCAGGATGGATCGTAGGCAGGCTAGCCTAAATGTTTCTAACCGGTGAAGATGTTCCATTAGGAGGGTCCACGTTTTGCAAGCTTAGAGAAGGGAGGGAATGACCGTGGCCAAGAAGACCTGAAGCTTCGTGTGGAGCGACAGACCAGGTAGCTTCCACACAGCGTTACGCAACCGATGAAAAGATATTGCCACTCGGCTGATTCTGAGTGAGACCTCTGCTGTTAAACTGGAGCCGGTCATAAGCACACTGCCCAGGTATGGGAAACTCTTCACTCTCTCCACAACTGCCCCATCACCGATTGGGAGTTGTGGGGGTGGAGTGTCCGATGGTACAAAATACCCAGGCAGGTGCTTAGTTTTGGTGGGGCTGATGGTAAGGCCCCATCTCTTAGTGGCACGCTCCAGTCTCAGCAGCAGCGTCTCCAACTCCTCCTCTGAATTAGCAGCTATTACCAAATCATCGGCATACATAACATGGTTGAGCAATAGGGAGCCATCCCTTGACCGCACCCGGGCATCGATCAGCCTCCCATTATATCTGTACCAGATGGAGATTCCCCCAGTACAGCTATTGAAGGCTTCACGAACTATGGTCAAAATAGATGTTAAATAATGTGGGAGCCAGAGGACATCCCTGTCGCACCCCAAGGTGTACAGAGAATGGCTCTGACTCCCGGCCACGTAGTTTTACCTGGGCACGCTCACCATCATGAAGGTCCTTAATGATCGTGAGCAGAGGGTCAGGGACTCCAAAAGCATGAAGAACAACCCAGAGCCCAGGCCTACTGATGGCATCATAGGCCTTGACCAGGTCAATAAAGCAGAGATGTAGGTCTTGCTGGAATTCCCTACTCCTCTGCTGTAGCACACGGACAGAAAATATGGCATCTGTGCAGGACCGCCCTTTCCTGAAACCGCATTGGGGCACCGCCAGCCTCTCCTCAGCGTGCCTGGCAAGGCGATGTTGAATAATCCTTGCCAGGACCTTTCCCGGCACACTGAGGAGTGAGACGCCCCTGTAGTTGTTACAGTCTGTGCGGTCCCCCTTCTTAAAGAGGGGGACCACCAGGGCATCCTTCCAATCCTGCGGAACCCGTCCAGTGGTCCAGACTGTTATTATGATGTCATGTAGGGCAGTCTGTGCACAAACGCCACCCTCCCTCACCATTTCGCTTGGGAGATCATCTCTGCCCGGTGCCTTTCCTGGTCTCAGACTCCGGATCGCCTTCAGTACTTCCTCAACAGATGGCACCTCAGCCAGCCACTCATAGGGGGTGACTTCTTCTTCCAATATTTGAGGCACCGCAGCCTCAGCAGGGTCATCCTCACTTTGTGCCACGATGTTTTCCAGGCTGAGGGATTTTCCCTCCCCCAGGACCTCACAGAAATGCTCAGCAAAATCTGCAAACCTGTTCCTGGGGGTCGGAGATTGGATCACCGTTTTTTCCCCTAATGATGGTAATAGGTGTGGCGCTGCAGGTTACTTTTTCGATGGAGTTAATTAGAGATTTGTGATCGCGGGCCACTGAGGCAGACTCCATCTCCTCAGCAACCCGCGACCACCACCCATCCTTGCATCGCCTCACGGCTCTCCGAACCTCCGAGCGAAGGCTGCGGTAAGCCTCCTCATTCTCTGACGTGGCATTCTGTAGCCGATGAGAGTGGGCCTGTCGCTTTTTTTCAACCATCCTGAACACCTCCTCTGTCAGCCAGGGTCTCTGGGGAGGTCTAGACCACGTACCCAAAGCAGCCATTGCAGCTGCATTAGTCACAGTCCTAAACCTCACCCATTTACCCTCGACATCAGGATGAGTGGGGGATGATGCCAACCCCAGCCATAAGCGATGATGAAATTCTCGCTTGCAACTTTCATCAGATAACTGAGACCAGGCCACTTTAGGTTGGAATGGGGTCCTGGGTGTACACCCACCACTGGAATGGAAGAATGGCAGGCGCATCTTACAGATGACTAGTCGATGGTCAGAGGGCAGATCAGCTCCACGGTAGGTCCTGGTGTCAAGGACATGGGCTCGCATCCACTGGTCCGTCACTATGTAGTCCAGCAGATGTTCTTGCGTGGACCCGGCATGCATCCATGATGTTGTGTGGATGCGCCGATGCTGGAACAGCGTGTTGGTAATTACAAGCCCATGGGCTGCACAAAAATCTAGCAGCCTTCTACCGTTGTTATTGAGCTGATCTGGCCCATGCCCTCCAATCACTCCAGATCAGGTGCCAGCATCATGACCAACTCGGGCATTGAAGTCATCCAACAAGATGACAATCCCGAGGTCACTTTAGCCAGCACCTGTGACAGGAGGTCATAGAAGGCATCTGACTCATCGGCTTTGCCTGCATCCCTCCACGGATGTTCGTCTTCGGTGGGGGCATAAGTAACCACGACCACCACTCCTCGCCTCCGGTTGATGGGAAGGCGAGCCCAAAGTAGCCTGGGGCTTACAGCTTCCCACACCTCACCGCCACGCTCCCACGCCCCCTTCATTCTTTTGTTCAAAAGAAGAGCCACACCCTGTTGTTTGGCAATCTGCTGCCCCGAGTAGAGGACTGTCCACCCCTCATGGTGGCAGGAGCCAGAACCGGTCTACCGGACCTCCTGAATACCGCAGAGATCCAGGCGGAACCGGTCCAGCTCCCGACAGAGGAGTGGCAGCCTCTCCTCCGCAGTGAGCGTTCGAACATTCCACGTGGCCACACGTAGTGGCTTTTCATTGTTTCTGGAGGAGCCCCGAGGGTGGAGATTCAATCTCCTGGCGCCGCCAATTGGGGTTTGGCCAGGAGACGTCATAGACGCCTGGCCCCCCGGGGCCTCCGGCACAAGCTTATTAGTTCCATTTTTAATTTGTGGTTTCGAGGTAAATTTTTGAAGGTGGAGGGGTTACCAGCCCCTCGCACCCGTCCAGAGCCCCCGTTTAGCCCCTGTGGTGGTCACAGACGCCATGAGGGTAAGGGCCAATCGGAATTGGCCCTCCCCCCCACTGTGCACGACAGAGTTGCCCGTCCGGCACCGCGAGGAGGTAGGGGGTTGTTTTGCCGGACCATCCACACACTCAATTACCCACTCACTCACTCACCCACCCACCCACACACTCACTCACACACTCACTCACCCACCCACTCACCCACCCACACACTCATCCACCCACACACCCACCCACCCACCCACTCACCCACCCACACACTCGCCCACCCACCCACTCACCCACCGACTCAATCAATCACCCACCCACTCACCCACCCACTCACTCACCCACCCACTCACCCACTCACTCACCCACCCACTCACCCACTCACTCAATCACCCACCCACTCACTCACCCACCCACTCACTCACTCAATCACCCACCCACCCACTTACCCACTCACTCACTCACCCACTCACTCACTCACACACTCACTAACTCACTCACCCAACCGCTCACCCACCCACTCACCCACCCAATCACCCACTCACCCATCCACTCACTCACCCACACACTCACCCACTCACTCACCCACCCACTCACTCACCCACCCACTCACCCACCCACTCACCCACCCACCCACTAACCCACCCACCCCACCACCCGACCAGGTCCACTACCGCCACGTGTTCCACGCGCTTGTGGTAATCGCTCGCTCCGAGGGGCTGAGCTCGCTCCAGAGAGGGCCTCGCTCCGTCGCTCCTCTACCAGTTGGCCATGAACGGCGTGCGGCTGGGCGCCTTCGACGCCATGGAGCGGCGAATCCGGTCGGCCGGGGGGTCAGCGGTGGGGTCACCGGCGGGGTCACCGGTGGGGTCACCGGTGGGGTCACCGGTGGGGTCAGCGGTGCGGCAGTGGCGAGTCCACTCTACCTGGTAGGCTCACACACACAGAGAGACACAGACTCACTCACACAGAGAGACACAGACTCACTCACACAGAGAGACACAAACTCACTCACACAGAGAGACACACAGACTCACTCACTCAGAGAGACACAGACTCACTCACACAGAGAGACACAGAGACTCACTCAGAGAGACACAGACTCACTCACACAGAGAGACACAGAGACTCACTCACACAGAGACACACAGACTCACTCACACAGAGAGACACAGACTCACTCACACAGAGAGACACAGACTCACTCACACAGAGAGACACAGACTCACTCACACAGAGAGACACAGACTCACTCACACAGAGAGACACAGACTCACTCACACAGAGAGACACAGACTCACACACACAGAGAGACACACAGACTCACTCACACAGAGAGACACACAGACTCACTCACACAGAGAGACACAGACTCACTCACACAGAGAGACACACAGACTCACTCACACAGAGAGACACACAGACTCACTCACACAGAGAGACACAGACTCACTCAGAGAGACACACAGACTCACTCACACAGAGAGACACACAGACTCACTCACACAGAGAGACACACAGACTCACACAGAGAGAGACACAGACTCACTCACACAGAGAGACATAGACTCACTCACACAGAGAGACACAGACTCACACAGAGAGAGACACAGACTCACTCACACAGAGAGACACAGACTCACTCACACAGAGAGACACAGACTCACTCACACAGAGAGACACACAGACTCACTCACACAGAGAGACACAGACTCACTCACACAGAGAGACACACAGACTCACTCAGAGAGACACAGACTCACTCACACAGAGAGACACAGACTCACTCACACAGAGAGACACAAACTCACTCACACAGAGAGACACACAGACTCACTCACTCAGAGAGACACAGACTCACTCACACAGAGAGACACAGAGACTCACTCAGAGAGACACAGACTCACTCACACAGAGAGACACAGAGACTCACTCACACAGAGACACACAGACTCACTCACACAGAGAGACACAGACTCACTCACACAGAGAGACACAGACTCACTCACACAGAGAGACACAGACTCACTCACACAGAGAGACACAGACTCACTCACACAGAGAGACACAGACTCACTCACACAGAGAGACACAGACTCACACACACAGAGAGACACACAGACTCACTCACACAGAGAGACACACAGACTCACTCACACAGAGAGACACAGACTCACTCACACAGAGAGACACAGACTCACTCACACAGAGAGACACACAGACTCACTCACACAGAGAGACACAGACTCACTCAGAGAGACACACAGACTCACTCACACAGAGAGACACACAGACTCACTCACACAGAGAGACACACAGACTCACACAGAGAGAGACACAGACTCACTCACACAGAGAGACATAGACTCACTCACACAGAGAGACACAGACTCACACAGAGAGAGACACAGACTCACTCACACAGAGAGACACAGACTCACTCACACAGAGAGACACAGACTCACTCACACAGAGAGACACACAGACTCACTCACACAGAGAGACACAGACTCACTCACACAGAGAGACACACAGACTCACTCAGAGAGACACAGACTCACTCACACAGAGAGACACAGACTCACTCACACAGAGAGACACAGACTCACTCACACAGAGAGACACAGACTCACTCACACAGAGAGACACAGACTCACTCATACAGAGAGACACACAGACTCACTCACACAGAGACACACAGACTCACTCACACAGAGAGACACAGACTCACACACACAGAGAGACACAGACTCACTCACACAGAGAGACACACAGACTCACTCACACAGAGAGACACAGACTCACTCACACAGAGAGACACAGACTCACTCACACAGAGAGACACAGACTCACTCACACAGAGAGACACAGACTCACACACACAGAGAGACACACAGACTCACTCACACAGAGAGCCACAGACTCACTCACACAGAGAGACACAGACTCACTCACACAGAGAGACACAGACTCACTCACACAGAGAGACACACAGACTCACTCACACAGAGAGACACAGACTCACTCAGAGAGACACACAGACTCACTCACACAGAGAGACACACAGACTCACTCACACAGAGAGACACACAGACTCACACAGAGAGAGACACAGACTCACTCACACAGAGAGACACAGACTCACTCACACAGAGAGACACAGACTCACACAGAGAGAGACACAGACTCACTCACACAGAGAGACACAGACTCACTCACACAGAGAGACACAGACTCACTCACACAGAGAGACACACAGACTCACTCACACAGAGAGACACAGACTCACTCACACAGAGAGACACACAGACTCACTCAGAGAGACACAGACTCACTCACACAGAGAGACACAGACTCACTCACACAGAGAGACACAGACTCACTCACACAGAGAGACACAGACTCACTCACACAGAGAGACACAGACTCACTCATACAGAGAGACACACAGACTCACTCACACAGAGACACACAGACTCACTCACACAGAGAGACACAGACTCACACACACAGAGAGACACAGACTCACTCACACAGAGAGACACACAGACTCACTCACACAGAGAGACACAGACTCACTCAGAGAGACACACAGACTCACTCACACAGAGAGACACACAGACTCACTCACACAGAGAGACACACAGACTCACTCACACAGAGAGACACAGACTCACTCACACAGAGAGACACAGACTCACTCACACAGAGAGACACAGACTCACTCACTCAGAGAGACACACAGACTCACACACACAGAGACACACAGACTCACTCACACAGAGAGACACACAGACTCACTCACACAGAGAGACACAGACTCACTCACACAGAGAGACACACAGACTCACTCACTCAGAGAGACACACAGACTCACACACACAGAGACACACAGACTCACTCACACAGAGAGACACACAGACTCACTCACACAGAGAGACACACAGACTCACACAGAGAGACACACAGACTCACTCACACAGAGACACACAGACTCACTCACACAGAGAGACACACAGATTGACTCACACAGAGAGACACAGACTCACTCACACAGAGAGACACAGACTCACACACACAGAGAGACACACAGACTCAGTCACACAGAGAGACAGAGACTCACTCACACAGAGAGACACAGACTCACTCAGAGAGACACAGACTCACACAGAGAGACACACAGACTCACTCACACAGAGAGACACACAGACTCACTCACACAGAGAGACACAGACTCACTCAGAGAGACACACAGACTCACTCACACAGAGAGACACAGACTCACTCAGAGAGACACACAGACTCACTCATACAGAGAGACACACAGACTCACTTACACAGAGAGACACAGACTCACTCACACAGAGAGACACAGACTCACTCAGAGAGACACAGACTCACACAGAGAGACACAGACTCACTCACTCAGAGAGACACAGACTCACTCACACAGAGAGACACACAGACTCACTCACACAGAGAGACACAGACTCACTCACACAGAGAGACACAGACTCACTCAGAGAGACACACAGACTCACACAGAGAGACACACAGACTCACTCACACAGAGAGACCCACAGACTCACTCACACAGAGAGACACAGACTCACTCAGAGAGACACACAGACTCACTCACACAGAGAGACACAGACTCACTCAGAGAGACACACAGACTCACTCATACAGAGAGACACACAGACTCACTCACACAGAGAGACATAGACTCACTCACACAGAGAGACACAGATTCACTCACACAGAGAGACACACAGACTCACTCACACAGAGAGACACAGACTCACTCACACAGAGAGAAACACAGACTCACTCACACAGAGAGACACACAGACTCACTCACTCAGAGAGACACACAGACTCACACACACAGAGAGACACAGACTCACTCACACAGAGAGACACAGACTCACACAGAGAGACACAGACTCACTCACACAGAGAGCCACAGACTCACTCACACAGAGAGACACAGACTCACTCACACAGAGAGACACACAGACTCACTCACACAGAGAGACACAGACTCACACAGAGAGACACAGACTCACTCACACAGAGAGACACACAGACTCACTCACACAGAGAGACACACAGACTCACACACACAGAGAGACACAGACTCACACAGAGAGATACACAGACTCACTCACACAGAGAGACACACAGACTCACTCACACAGAGAGACACAGACTCACTCACACAGAGAGACACAGACTCACTCACACAGAGAGACACACAGACTCACACAGAGAGACACACAGACTCACTCACACAGAGAGACACACAGACTCACACACACAGAGAGACACAGACTCACACAGAGAGACACAGACTCACTCACACAGAGAGACACAGACTCACTCACACAGAGAGACACAGACTCACTCACACAGAGAGACACAGACTCACTCACACAGAGAGACACAGACTCACACAGAGAGACACACAGACTCACTCACACAGAGAGACACAGACTCACTCACACAGAGAGACACAGACTCACTCACACAGAGAGACATAGACTCACTCACACAGAGAGACATAGACTCACTCACACAGAGAGACACAGACTCACACACACAGAGAGACACAGACTCACTCACACAGAGAGAAACACAGACTCACTCACACAGAGAGACACAGACTCACTCACACAGAGAGACACAGACTCACTCACACAGAGAGACATAGACTCACTCACACAGAGAGACACAGACTCACACAGAGAGACACACAGACTCACTCACACAGAGAGACACAGACTCACACAGAGAGACACAGACTCACTCACACAGAGAGACACAGACTCACTCACACAGAGAGACACAGACTCACTCACACAGAGACACAGACTCACTCACACAGAGAGACACACAGACTCACTCACACAGAGACACACAGACTCAC